TGACATTTTCTGTTGGTTCTCTTTTGCCCCGCTCTTTCCCTTGGACATCACAGAATAAAGAGAGCTGGACAACATACATCAGGGTAAAAGCCTCTTTTGGAAATCTTTGCCTATCTCCTGATATTCATCCCCTCAAAGCCTCGGATCTCTGGGCTAGCCTGATAATTTAGGGGTTGAGAGGGGGGGAAATATCACTTTGCATTATATATTCCAGCGAGGGCTTATTGCATCCAGCACACCAAAGGGACCAGAGACAAAAGATGAAACCATGTGGTCTGCACGACTTAAGTATGGGGTCAGTGACCAATGACCTGAGGGCACGGGGGGGGGGGGGGGGGGGAAGGGGCAGGGTAAAGGGCAGAAACCTGTAGGGGGGATGAGGGATGAATAATTGGGTTGGACAGTGTCAACTGGCCAGTGGGGGAGGCAGTCTGATGTAGATTGGCAGTAGTGCTGCAGAGCATCATGGGTTAGGTCCTCTCCATCAGCTTAGGTGGGGAAAACACTATGATACAGTCTTGCAAAGCAAGTCCTGGGGATTCCACTGGGGGGGAGGAGTCAGAAGATTCCACAGTCCTTCATAATGGGCTTTAAATTTCGTCAGCCCTGACGTGGTCAGGCAGTTAAACTAGATGATCACTGTAGGTCCCTTCCAACTGTTCTGTTCTAGTCTAGTCTAGTCTATTCTTTCTGTTAGTAATTGCCATACATTTTAAACTCAACATAGGGCTATGCATTCAATCCAAAAGCAATAAACAAGGACCATAGGAGTACACAGTAGTTTAGGATGGAAACAGCTTCAGGAAGACTGTGGTCCAATGTCTTGCTCAAATGAGGGCCATATGTGGGACCAAACAATGTATTTAATGCAGCTTGCACTTGAGAGCCTTGGAGGATGGAGACTGCACCAACCCTGTGAGCAACAAGGTCCACTCACAAACATGTCTTCATCACTTTACTTGCTCCTTAACAATGTATAGTTTGATTTTGATAAACTTACATTCAATTAACAGCCTACAGCAAAATTGGCAAATATTTTCTGTTGCCTCTCTCTATATATGTGCACACTAAGTGCAGATTTTAATAAAGACCAGTACAAAATTTCACTTACATTTCCCAGTAACGTTTAGATCTCAAGGTGTAGGACAGAGTGTGTCTTTTCACGTTGAATAGTTCCGTTTATCGCTCCAAGATGCTTTGAATCAGAGCTGGTACTAACTGAAGATCTGCAAAATGCACAAAGCTCTAAACCCACCACTTTTTTCATATTCTTTCCTGTGTTTATGTTCATCAGGCAAAATTCACTTGCTGAAATAGCTGTTATTCCAGCTGAAATCAGCTTAATTAAGCAAAAAAGTCAGTTTGGCCAAATAAGCAAATCAAGAGATGCTTTTCACACTTATCAAACTTATTTTTTTAAATTGTTATATCAAAAATTAAGATGGTATTTTAAAAATTATATGCTGTACAATTTTTGTTTAGGTTTTAAGTAAATTTTCACTGTATTCACTGTCTCCTAAGTTTTTAAATTACCCAATAAAGATTTAAGAAATTATTAAACTTTTGAATTTGGATGGTAAAAGTTGCAAGTTATATGGCAATATGTAACATTTCTTTCTTTGCACCCCCCACCCCTGCCTCCCAATATAATGTTCTTCTGCCACATCAGCATACCTTCCTCAGAGCTCCTTTTCTCTTCCCTGCCCACTCTCAAATTAGTGCTTTGGTTTTTATCCTGAATGTGGTTCTGGATTTCCAGCAAAAATTGTGTTTTCAAAATAATGGTTACAATCCTTCAAAAGGGGAAGAAAAGTGAATATTTAATAAAAATGTTTGTCTCATTTGGCAGTTTCCAATGTACAAACACAGAATACAGGAATAGCAAGAAAAATAAGCTTTTTGATAAAAGGACTCTGGGGATAATAAATCAGGAAGAGCTTGAAGAGGATAATAGAAATTGAGCTGTTTTCCGTATATTTTACCTTTAATAGTGTGTTTACTTACAAATTGTCTTGCATTGTCATTCTAATTGACTGTCATTGATGTGGGAAGCTACTGATGAGCACAGACAGTCTAAGATGTTGGTAATTCATGTTCTGGCCAGCATAATGCCAAGAAAATGGCTTGTAGTGGTCTCTATCCCTCTCTGCTGCAGGAGGACTAAAGAGTGTTAATCAGATCTTGTGTGGGAAAACAAAGCCCAAGTTTTCTAAAGAATCTTTATTTTCCATGTAAAATCTTGGATGCCTTGATAAACATTGCAAAAAAAGCAGTGAAATACAGTAGTTTATCTTGATAAAATCTTAACAGCATGATTGCATTGAAAACACAGAATTTTGAAAATTATGGGGATTTAGGAAACTGGAGGTTCATTTTCAAATATTTGATTTGGAATTTGAATACTAGCTTTAAGAGAAGTCTTTGGGATCTGCCTTTCTTTTGGTGCCCAGGAATTTAAAGTTTTGCACCATTTGCACCATGTTAATTCTGTCATTGTGATAAATGTTAATAAATTATACAGCTAATTAAATACAGGTAATTAAATACTAAAATATTTGACTGCTGTCTGCCCTCTCCTCCTTGGAACTCCATTTCCGAGTCTGACTGAAAACTCAGTTGACAGTGAGAGCAGGAAGTTGTTGGGAGGAAGTTTGTTGGAAGAAAGTTGTGATATGCTAACTGACAAGATCTTACAGCCTCATTTATACCTTGGGACAACATAGGAAGATGGGATTTCCCACTCAGGCCAGTACTGCAGGTGTCAACATGAACCAAAGGTGTTTGTGTACTGCGAGCAACATGGAGCATCATAATGCCCCTGAACTACACTCCAGTTTCCTTTTCTTAGACTGCTGCTTGACCAGATACATTCCCCATGTTCCATGCTAAATTTCCTGAGATAGTTCTTAGAGCGCTTTTGTGATCTTGCAAATCCTATGACCCTAAAGGACTTGCAGAGCCTGTAATTCAAATTCCTCATAAAAACATTGGATTTTTATTTCTCTGTTGTTTTTTGTAGCTGAGGATTCCAAGGAACACAAATTCCAAGAGCATTTGGGTGCACAGCGGTTAGTCTGGAGGCATATGGGATGCCAACACCCTTCAGTGCAATTCAAGATCCAGAGCACCTGCAACTTTCTTGGAAGGACCATTGGGACTAGAGGGAGAACAGAACATGACCTTTATACGGGGGTCATCCATGCTTTCCCAGTCAGACTAAAACTTCAGCTCTGTGTTTAAGAATGAGTCTTTAAAGACTCAGTTTCAGAAACAAAACCTAACTTAAGTCCATCCCTAGGGGTTTAAGAGCTGTGTGGTAGAGCTCGTAACTGTTATTAAAGTGGAAGAACAGGACTATGACATCAAACCTTTTCTTCCCCTTCCCTTTTACTTTACTTACAAAAGCCAAGGTAAGCAATTGTGTGTAAGGTTTGCTGCATCAATAGCATCTTTTCTTGTGCAACAAAATGCAATAGAGAAATTATTTAACTGGTTGTTAGCAAAACCTGTTACTAAAGGTTTGTTATCTAGTCAGTGTTCGAACTTTGTAGGGTGCTTGGAAATACTACAGAAGTGGGCGGAATTCCCATTTCCCATGATGAGAAAGTCACCAAGAGATGAAATGGTTGCTTGATCCATTATTACAGCTGTATTACGACAGAGAACGGCACGGGGGACTAAGGCTTATTGAACCAGGCCGAGGACAGGTGGAAGGCAGCGAGTCCGACGCCGGGGATGGAGGCGGAGCTCGGAGCGGCCCGGATACGCTCCGAGGAGCGGCCCGGATCCTCTCCGAGGAGCTGCCGCTGCGCTCCGCCCTCAGCCGGGCGGGCCGGGGAGCGGAGCGCCCCGCGCGCAGCGGCTGCTGCGGGGCTGGGCCGCAGGTGAGAGAGGGGGGAATTCACCCCGGGCCCGCGGCCGCCAGCGCTGACCTCGGCTCCCGGAGCCGGCTGCGCCCAGGGAAGGGCCGTAGGGCGGGACCTCTCCGGGCTGGGCGGTGGTGCCGCCGGCGGGGCGGCCTAGGCAGCCGTGCCGAGGGCGGCTGTGCCCGGCGGCGGTGGGGCCGGGCGGGCCCTGCCCGAGCAGCGCGGGCCGCGGAGCCCGCCCTGCGGCGCGGCTGAACCGCAGCGGGCAGCGCCGCGGGAGCTCCCGGCGGCCCCGGGCAGCGGCATTCCCGCGGTGATTCCCGTGTGTGCCGGGATGCCGGGAGGTGCCGTGCCGGGCCTGCAGCCTGCAGCGAGGCCGCTCCCCGTGCCACCCGGTGGGTGACGGTGTAAGCAGTGCAAAAGCCATTTGTTTGCAGCTATATCTAGTGTTAGTGTGTGTGTGCATTTAGTATGCGTAAGCGTCTGCTCAGTTGCAATTTAAAACACACTGGCAGCTCTATACTCAGACGAGATAAACTTGAATATGACCTTACTATTGGATATGACAGTGACAACGTGTGCTAGTGCACAGCCTTCTGTGAGTAACTTTATATTTCTTTGTAGTAAATTTTGCTTAGGGAAGACAGACTCAGAGTTTTATCTTAATATTTACTGTATGGCTTGTGAAGCTCATTGACTGTCCTTGTGCACTCAAAGGTATATTAAAATTGTTACTTCAGAGTACTAAACTTGCAGGCATGTTTTAGCAGTTATGTTAGCAGGCATGTTTTTCCAGTTATGTCTCTGCACATTTACTGGAAAAATGTCTTTGAGCAGCTGCAGTGCTGTTTTGAGTGGTATGCAGAACGTAGGAAAACAATCTCATATCTTAATTCTCTGTATGTCTTACTTAAAAGCTGGTTTATATATAGTTTGCCTAGGATAAATGTATTCTTGATTACAGAGGAAATAAGAAATGATGAGCACTAACAAATCCTTCTTATGAACATGTCTTTGTTACTGTATCTCTAGAATGGGCCAGGATGTCATGCATGTGTGCTTGCATAGCTGCATGCAGAAATGAATCGATGTCAGAAAGCTGCTTCTCCCACCATCCTCCTTCTGTTGGTATGTTTTGAACCATATTCCAGCTAACGGTGTGCTTGCTTCAGTTGCCTCTTTTTCCCCTGAAGGAAGATCATTTGTTAGGATAATGAAGATAGAGGAGCATGGTTCTCACAGTGGCTTTGAAGCAGAGGGAAATGAGGCAGTGGCAGTGCAGTCACTGAACTTAAGCTTTGTGTAAGACATTACAGTGTAGCTTTCTGTACAGTCTCTTTTTTGATCAGCCTTATGCTGCTGGCTTGGCCACCAGCAATGTATAATTATTTGCAGATGTGGTGTGGTATTGCAAAGTCAGATGAGTCAGAAATGAGTGTTCCGAGAAGAAAATTTCTGTTCACACTAGTTGTTAGTTTAATAGAAATTTACTGTGACTGCATGTACTGTTGGGCTTTTGTTAATTGTTACTTTATACTTGCATTACACTTATTTTAAAGCAGTGTTTAAGTAAGGGAAGGAGCATTTGAGAAGCAGACAAACAACAAAACATTAAAGCCTTTATGTACATTACTCTAGTGAGCTTGAGAAAGGGACCTTTATCAATGTGGATGGTGCAAGTGAACATGAAACTGATGCTTTAAGTTTTAGGTTTCATATTTTCCAGATTCTGCACTGCTTTAGTATATAACTCTGAACTTCACATAAAGTGTTAGCAAGTTCTTTTCACAGTTTAGTTAGACGAAGCAATCCTTTTCCAGCCTGAGAACCAAGGACACCATTGCAGCTTCAGGCCCAAAAAGTATAAACAACAGCAAATTGAGGAGAGCAAACTCGGAGGGTGGTAACCTGAAGCTGTTATTGGACAATTAACCCCAATATGCAAATGGACCAAAAATTATAAAAGTGTGAAACCTCATGACCAGTTGTTCATCTTGGGTATAGCCATGGCCGGGCTCTTGTGCTACCCAAGATGTATCCTTTGAAGGCCTTTTCAATAAGTACCTACTTTATTCCTTTATCACTAGCATCTGTTCTAGGTAGTCTCTCAAGGCATCAAAATCTTTCCACCAAATATCTAAATATCTGCTGCAGATTGTAGCAAGGTAAGACAAAGAACAAATGACTTAAAGTCACTTCTTTTTCATTAAAACTGTAAAACTAAATTGCATTGATTGAACATATTTTTTATAATATTTGTGAGTAGGTCTATTTTTAAAGTTTTTTTCCTTGAATAGCTGTTCCTAGTCAAAGGCTGGATATTGCACAATTTAGGCTGATCATTTCAAAATAATGTCACCAGAGCTGCACTGACTTGTAAGTATAGAATACTACCCACCCTTAATTTCTTTTCTAGCACAAAAACAGTGGAGACCCATAGTCCCATTAGAACTTTTGCTTTTAAAGAAAATAAATCAGTATTATTTGTTGAAAACTGGAATACTTTAAGCACTCTCCTTTTGTTTATTTGTTTGTTTCTGTCCTTTATTTTTAAAAGGCAGTTTAGTTTTTTGTTGACATTTCGGGTTGTTTAGTGTCTTCCCAAGTGGGCTAACCTGAAAATAAGAAAAACTGTGAAAATTCAGCTTAGATTTCAGTTGATGAAAAGGTGGGAGATGAAAAATTCGGAGAAATAAAAATGAAATTATAAGGGAAACATTATTTTACTTACTAATCCAATAAAGAATAAAAATTATTTGTGTTATAATACGCACCAGCTACTTTGTGTATATCTCACTGTTTCATTTTTGGATGAGTCAGCATAGTAAATAACCACCTTTATGCTGGCCAGGAGCATCATTTTACTGACCAAGTGAAGGGGAAGTGTTTATCTGTGATTCAATCCAACAAGGAAGTCTCATTTTCCATGTGGGAGGCTTTAAATATTTTAGAGAACTTACTGTCTGTTAAATACTTCCATCTGGCATTGCTTGGCAGAGAGATGTTAAATGGCCTTGTTTCCCGCCATTTTATTTCACTTCTGCTTGCTAAGTCTGCTCATACAAAATTCATTAGTCTGGTCAGACTCTTTACATTCCATGTTTCTCCTTTCTTTGTAAATTGTATGCTTTGTCATGCTGATCTGGTCTGAGGTAGTCAGTGGTGTTGCTAGCTGTAGTTTCTCAGTAGTGCACTTACCGTCTTCAAAGTTAAGAGGTAATTTTCCAGATCATAATAGTTTTCTGATTGAAACACTCAATAATAACAAGAATTTAAAAACTGGTTCCTGCTACTTGGAGCAGGAGCATATTAGTAGAAATTGATGTAATAATCTTTTCAAAAAGAACACTGTAAATCCTAGTTTTATATAAACCATGTGATTGCTTGGTATACTGGGTAGCTGAATGGCCTAATTTTTTACCTGTTGAGAAGAACACACCCCCTCCCTCCCCCCCGCATACACACACAGGCTTTACTAGTTGTTTTGTAGCTGTTGTTTTACATTACATTCTGAAGTTACTGCTCTGGCTTTATTAATTCCGTAGTATCAATTCATATTTTCTTAAGGTCTGTAGGATTATAGTGTATATTTTCTGCATAATTTCATTTTGAGGGAGTAAATCTGTGCTACACTTAGTTGTTACTCCATCTGAATATTGTCTTATGTGGTGCAACAATTTCATATTGCCCCCATTCTCTTTAGGTTAGAGGAGTATGGAATTGCTTGTAAGGAATAGCAAACTTTTTTTTTTTTCCCTTCAGACTGCAAGGGGAATTATGTAGACCTTTTCTTTTACCCTTCACAAGGACACAATTGAAATAATTAAAGGTGTCCTCGCTTAACACATGCTGGGCTATTTCACTTACTCCTGATGTCTAACAGATAAAAATTTTGTCTTTTAAGTGCATTGTATGTATCAAGTAATGGCAGCACAGAGAAGGGATAGTGTCAAAACTGGCTTGATATCTCTATTTAGGATGTTTGATTCTTTTACAGTTGCTATCACCATTGCTATCTTCATTCTGCTTTTTCTTGTTGCAATTACTATCACTTTATCAATGTGACATATCTTAGTGATTTTTAAATAAAAGCATTGCCTATGGCTTGGCATCTAGGAGGAAGAATCAGTTCTGAAGAAAAAAAAACATTTACATTGCAGAAAGTTAATGCTTATCTTAAAGGAAAAAAAAAGCATGTTGTAAAGTCAATTCAGATTCTAGCTGAGGAGATGCCAAATTACAGAGAACCAGTTATTTTGTTAAGAGTAACTTACGGGAGTTCCAAAATAATGTGGACGTTCTACAAAGCATAAAAGTATCAAGGGAAACTGCTCTTCATCTTTCTTTTTTTCAAATACTAAGTAATTAAAGTTTGTATTTTGTAAGTCACGTTTCTTTCCTCAGAAAGACCATAAGTAATGCATGTAACAGAAGAAATAATAGTTTATCAGAGAAAAAAAACCAAACAAACAAAATCTTGAGTGCAGTGAAGTATGTGGCAAGAAGTCATTTCAACAATAAATGATTTACAATGCATATATTGTGATATCAGGCCCTAGTGTGTCATGCATGTCTGATTTTCATTTGTTCCATGTTACGAGAAGGATATGGATGGTATCTGACAACTTTGTTGAAAATTCAATAACCAAAAATATTTTTATTTGCAAAATGTGGAAATTTTGATAGTTTTACACTGAATGAACTATCTCAAGAATATTAATGCATTCTTTGAGGTCATACAGTGATTTTTTAATAGTTAATCTAGTATTTATCTTCATTATTTCTCTGCTCTGTGTTTTAGACAGTTTTCTTAGTGTTTATCTGGATTTGGTCTAGTTACTTTATATGCAGAGCTTGCTTTAAATATACAGAAAATTGATAAAATCTTGTAAAATGTAATTGAATTCTATTCTGAAGACTATTTTGGTAGGTATTGGTTGAATGAATTCTCTTGGTAACTACTACTTTCAGTTACTTTGCATACGTTTTTAATATGTGCACCAGCAGCAAAGGATATGACATCTTGTTCTCAGTCTTATTGCTTAGATTCAGTAATAATTATCTTTAATTATAAATTGTCTTGAATTGGCATCACTCGGTTGTCATTCTGTTTGAGAGGCAAGGAGACAAGCCAGCAGTGATCTGAAGAAGTAATCTTTTTAAACTGAAGTACTGTTTTTTCCAGTGTTATAACTGATGCTGGGAATTACTGATGAGCTCATACTTGTAAACAGCAGTGAATATTACAGAAGTTGTCAAAGGCTTTATAACCATAGAAATGATACTGTCACAAAGTATTAAATATCTGTTTATAGGTGATGATACAGACACTCACTGAGAATCTCAAATTTTATTTTTTTTTTGTAGAATCTACTAAATAATGTCTTTATGTCTTTTCTGTTTTTTTTTCCCAGATAAGGATACAAATAATTTTGAGGCCATATGGCAGCTTGAATAACTGGCATTAAAAGTCTTGGGAAAGAAGGGCTGAACACATACATGCTGAGTTTTGGTCCTCTGCTGTTGGAGCTGGCCAGTCATTTCTGTCACCAGCTAGCAGTCCCTAGCTCAGATGGTCCCTTCAGTTCTTGGTATTTGTGGCACCAGATTCTGATGGTGCTGTTGCTTTCATATGTCTGACAGATTTCTTGGTTTTAATACTGTTCCTCACATTGCAGCACAGAATAGGAGTTCTGGAGTTTCAGAACCTAAAGTACTTAGGCTGGACCTTGCTGTCTTGAAGACTTTCTGCTCTGATTTTCCTTTGTACTGGTTTACAGTGAGGGTAATTATTGTGCAATGAACTGCTGGGTTACTTTTCCAGGTTGATTGCTTGTGGTTACCAGAGCACACACCCATGTTTCAAACAAAAGTAAATTATTTTTTAAAGTTCTTTTCTGAGAAGAGCAGCCTTTGTGTTACTTTAAGACTTGAAATGCCAAAAGTGCATGAAGATATCTCTTCCTCCTACCTCTTCTTTAGGGCACATAGTGCTGTGGGAAGTGATTTGTTTGTTCTGGGCTTGTTTGTTTATTTGTTTGTTTTGTTGCTTTTGCCATTTATATGTGACTAGGTAATATGATATATTTCCAACCTTGCAATACGTCCATTTTATTTATATATTTTCTAGCATCATTTCAGTTTCTTTTAACAGAACAAATTGCGTCTCTCTGGAAGGTTCCAGGAGCGATTTCCAAACTGCAGGGTAGAAGTTGGGAATTAAGAGCAAGAACAGATACTTAAGTTTCTTACCTAAAATCACAGGGTAGCTGAAAGTTGTAATGCAGAATTTCTGTGTGCTGTGCCTCCAGTAATCATGGTTCCTCGTGCTGGATAATTTCAACTTCAGAAATTGTCATTAATATCTTTGTCTCACCAACTGAAGCCTCATCAAATTTACTGTTTCACTGTTTGATATGGTGTTAAAGTAGGAAACAACTGCTTCTGCTATTCTAAAACTGGTAATTCGCTGCATAAATACATATTGAATTCAATTAACTGTAATGGGAAACATTATTCAGTTGTGTGCAGTGAAAAATTTTGGTGTCTGGTTTGCTTCAGTATTTCAATTCTTTATTTAACTGTTTTACCTGTATTGATTGATTCACAGAGTTGTTAGGGTTGGAAGGGATTTCTGGAGATCATTTAGTCCAACCCCAGACCATTGAGTCCAACCCCAGAATACTTAAAAGCTCAGTGGATGAAGTACATCTGCAGAAGTCACGGTCCACAAAACTAGTAATGAAGAATCCTAAGTATACCACAACTGAGAATGAAAAGAGACCATTTAAGACTAAAGGAGCATTAAAAATAGTCTCTCCATAAAAGAAGTCTTTTAATGGCAAATAAAATCCTCTTCAGCAAAACTGTGGGCATTTTGTTTACTGCTAGTTTATTAGTGTAGGGAGCAGAAGGTTGATTGGGGACTAAGCAGGGAAGGAGAGTTAGGAACATGAGACCTCAGTCACTTAAATCCAGGTTTAACCAAGATTCTTTTGGTCTGGGTAGATGGAAAAGAGAAATACCAACTAGGTATCTTCAAGAGGTAAAAAATCACACAAAGTTTATTAGTGAATTATATAAGATGAGGAACTTAGTCAAATTATTTATTACAATATGAAACTCCACAGCTCAGACATAGCCCACTGAAGATAGAAGACCTTCAAACCCATTTGCCATTATCTTCTGTTGAAAAGAAAGGGAGAAAGACTGAAAATATGGAGAAAACCAGACATAACTACCAACTCCAGGGTTCCAATGATGTAAAGCTCCAAGATGAAGGTAGGGTTAAAGAACAACGTTTGCCTCATTGTCAGCCTTCTTAAAAGCCCTTCCTCCCAGGTGGGTCTTTCAGTTGCTGGGCCATTTAGGGACTGGGTTAGTGTCCAAGATTGGAGCACCAAGAAGTTTCCTATAACCGAGTAGCAGTTGCCTCTAGGCAGTTTTCCTTATCTCCTGTTAATAGGCCCATCAATGTCTTGCCACATGACTGAGAGATAACACTCTCCAGGAGCCAGTTCTGTTTAACAGGTGATTAAGGACACACCTTGTGACTCAGAATAACATCAGCCCATTGTGAGATGCTTCACCCAGGGGGAGGAGCTAGGCATTCCCACCTGGATAAAACCGGGGATTTCTAGACAGAGAGGCATCCTTTCCACAGGTTTCTGAGAAGACACAGCAACCACATCTGCCGTCCAAGAGGGCTGCAGCCACTCCAATTTGGACTGCTACCAGCACGCTGGCCAGAGGGGTGTCAGATTGTATTCTGGCTTTGTCAGTGGTCTTCCTTTTGTATCTTTGCATGTATTTTTGTCTTTTTCCCTTTTCTCAATAAATTGTATTTCTGACTTGGAGTCTCTCACTGGTTTTGCTTTTGAACTAGAACATATTTTTGGCGCCCAGTGTGGGGCAAGAAGGTACTGAGAGAAGTCAGAATTACAATTTTGTATTGTAGAGGGTACCTATTCACTATGATGCTTAACATGCTCTTTTGAGTCTTGTACCTAGCTTTCTATATTTTCCCGAATGTGGGGAACTATCTGGCAATTATAATGCTCATGTGTAGACCAGGGTATAGTATGAGAATTGCTTTATTAATCTATTATGTCTATTGCATTATAACCTCCGTGGCAATGAACATGATTTGGAATATGTACTCAATTCTGTTTGCTTGTCCTAATCTAGGCTGCTATGTCTGGGGCCTCGGCAACCACACCCAGCCCCTGGGGGGAAGGGGTTAAGATTGATTTTTTCCAACCTTTCAGGCTTGACACAGCAGTTTTTGAAAATGTTAAGTTCCCTCTGGATGCCAAGGACAGCATAATGTTGTTGTTAGTTCTGCTTTGTCTTCTTGGCACAGTCTGCAACATGCTTAGAAACAAAACACTACATAGTGTGGTGCAGCAAAACACACATAGTGTGATGCAGTGTCTTCTTGAGGAAGAGGAAACAAGAAGCAAAGCAGTAGTGTCCGTGTCCGTACAGAATGCCACAACATCATCCATGTTGACACAGACTGTCAGAGAGGAGGATGGAACCAAAAGCAAAACAACAGTGTCAGTGTCTACGCAGACTGTCACGGAGGAGGAAACCAAAAGCAAAAGAGGAGTGTCTATGTATACACAGACTGGCACAGAGGAGGAAGGAACCAAAAGCGCCATCAGCATCTCCACACAAACCATCACTAAACCAGAGCAGCCTGAACCAATAGTAGTTGCCCCCGTTCAGAAGAAGAAATCAAGGAGCAAATCAGTCTGCATAGTGACTGACGAGGATGCTGCAGGACCCTCACACCCAGCAGAAGAGACAGAGCCAGAAATCATCACTTGGTCTCTATCCCTGGGTGAGCTGCATGACCTGCGGAGAGAATTCACCCACCAGACAAACGAGTCCATCCTGACCTGGCTGCTCTGCATCTGGGACGCTGCAGCCAATGACACCATTCTGGATGGAAGTGAGGCCAGGCAACTGGGATCACTGTCCTGGGATGTGATCATTGACCAGGGGATCGGGAGAACCCAAGAAACTCTCAGCCTCTGGCGGCAGCTGCTCACAAGTGTGAGGGACAGATATCTTTGTAAAGAAGACTTCCAGGTGCACCAAGGAAAATGGAGCACCATGAAACAAGGTAGCCGATGCCTGAGGGAGTTGGCTGTGTTGGAGATAATTTTCTCAGAAGAGGAGAGATTTCCTAAGAGTCCAGACTGTGTCCAGTGCACATCACAAATGTGGTTGAGATTTGCACGGCTTGGACCAGAGATGTACTCCCGTTACCTGGCAACACTGCGATGGAGGGAAGGCGAGGACTGGGTGGGCGTCTCAGCAATAAATTAAGAATTTATGAGGATACTGTCACCACCCCATTTCATACCCATGTCTCCTCCATGGAAACAAGGTTGGCTGAGCAAGTCCGGGACTTGATTGAAGAGAGTCATCAGAAACTAAAAAAGGAACTTAAGGAAGAAGGCTACCATATTTCACCAGAACCCACAAGAATCTCTGCCATTAGGAGCCAGCACTCCCAAGCCAAGGAGAGAGGAAACCTCTGGGTTTTTCTTCAGGAGCATGGAGAAGACATGAGGAAGTGGGATGGAAAACCCACCTCCTCCTTAGTAGCCTGAGTACGTGAACTAAAAAGAATACCTAACACAAAAAGCTCATCTAGAGTCAATGCTGCTCCAGTCTCTCACACACAGAATTCCAGACAATATAGGAATGATCCTCTTGAAGGAACCTCAAGAACCTATTTACAGGAAGAGAGCAACATGTACCATGACCAGGAATAGAGGGGCCCTGCCTCTAGCCAGGTAGAGGACAGGGAAAATCGAATCTATTGGACCATGTGGATTTGATGGCCTGGCACATCTGAACCACAAAAATATACAGCTTTGGTTGACACCGGTGCCCAATGTACCCTGATGCCATCAAGATATGTAGGAGAAGAATCCATTTCTATTTCTGGGGTAACAGGAGGATCCCAGCAGCTTACTGTATTAAAGTGAGTTTAACTGGGAACGGGTGGCAGAAACACCCCATCGTGACTGGCCCAGAGGCCCCATGCATCCTTGGCATAGACTATCTCAGAAATGGATATTTCAAAGACCCAAAAGGGCATTGCTGGGATTTCAGAATAGCTGCTGTAGAGACAGAAGACATCTGGAAACTGAACACCTTGCCTGGTCTCTCAGATGACCCGACTGCTGTGGGACTGCTGAGAGTTGAGGAACAGCAGGTACCAATTGCCACAGCAACAGTACACCATCGGCAATATCGTCCCAGCAGAGACTCTGTGATTTCCATCCATGAGATGATTCGTAAATTGGAGAGCCAAGGGATGGTCAGCAAGGCCCATTCACCTTTCAACAGCTCTATATGGCCAGTGCACAAGTCCAGTGGGGAATGGAGACTAGCGGTAGATTACCGCAGCCTGAATGAGGTCACACCACCACTGAGCACTGCCGTGCCAGACATGTTGGAGCTTCAATACGAGCTGGAGTCCAAGGCAGCAAAGTGGTATGCGACCATTGATATTGCGAACGCCTTCTTCTCCATTCCTTTGGCAGCGGAATACAGACCTCAGTTTGCCTTCACCTGGAAGGGAGTGCAGTACACCTGGAACCGACTGCCCCAGGGGTGGAAGCACAGTCCCACCATCTGCCATGGACTGATCCAGGCTGCGCTGGAAAAGAACGAGGCTCCCGAACACCTACAGTATATCGATGACATCATTGTGTGGGGGAGCACAGCAGGGGAAGTTTTCAAAAAAGGAGAAAAAACTATCCAGATTCTGCTGAAAGCTGGTTTTGCCATTAAACAAAGCAAAGTTAAGGGACCAGCTCAAGAAATCCAGTTTCTAGGAGTCAAGTGGCAAGATGGACGTCGTCAGATCCCAACAGAAGTAATCGACAAGTTCACCGCTATGTTTCCACCTACCAACAAGAAGGAGACACAAGCTTTCCTAGGTGCCATAGGCTTTTGGCAGATGCACAAATTATAAGCCCTCTCTACCTGGTCACCCGCAAGAAGAGTGATTTCCACTGGGGCTCCGAACAGCAACAAGCCTTCACCCACATCAAGCAGGAAATCGCTCATTTGGTAGCCCTTGGCCCAGTCAGGATGGGACCAGAGGTAAAGAACATGCTCTACTCTGCAGCTAGGAACCATGGTCTGTCCTGGAGCCTTTGACAGAAGGTGCCTGGGGAGACTTGGGGTCAACCACTGGGATTCTGGAGCCGGAGCTACAAAGGCTCTGAAGCAAACTACACTCCCACAGAGAAGGAAATCTTGGCTGCATATGAAGGAGTTCAAGCTGCCTCAGAAGTAATTGGCACTGAAACGCAGCTGCTTCTGGCACCCCGACTACCAGTGCTGGGGTGGATGTTTAAAGGAAAGGTTCCTTCCACACATCATGCCACAGACACCACATGGAGTAAATGGATTGCCCTCATCACTCAGTGCGTCCATATTGGAAATCCGAATCACCCTGGATTCTGGAAATGATAACAAACTGGCCTGAGGGGGAGACTTTTGGATTGTCTTCTGAAGAAGAGGAGCAAGTGGCATGTGCCGAGGAGGCCCCACCATATAATGAACTATCGGAAACTGAAAGACAATATGCCCTTTTTACAGATGATTCCTGCCAAATCATAGGCACTAGCCGGAAATGGAAAGCTGCAGTGTGGAGCCCCACACGACAAGTGGCACAAGAGGGACAAGGTGGATCGAGTTAGCTTGCAGGGCTTAAAGCCATCCAGCTGGCTTTGAATATTGCTGAGCGACAGAAGTGGCTGAGGCTCTGTCTCTACACCGACCCATGGATGGTAGCTAATGCTCTGTGGGGATGGCTGAGTCTCTGGAAAAAGGCCAGCTGGCAGTGCAGAGGGAAACCCATCTGGGCCACCGAGATCTGGCAGGACATTGCCACCCTAGTAGAGAAGCTGACCGTGAAGATTCGACACGTGGATGCACACATACCCAAGAGTCGGGCTACTGAAGAGTGTCACAACAAAGAAAAGGTAGACTGAGCTGCCAAGGTGAAAATATCACAAGTAGACCTAGATTGGCAGCATAAGGGGGAATTATTCCTAGCTCATTGGGCCCATGGTGCTTCTGGGCATCAGGGGAGAGACGCAACATACTGATGGGCACATGACCAAGGGATGGACCTTACTATGGACAGCATCTCACAGGTCATGCACGACTGCGAGACCTGCGCTGCAATCAAACAGGCCAAGTGGATGAAGCCTCTGTGGTACGGTGGGCGATGGTTGAAATACAGGTATGGGGAAGCCTGGCAAATTGACTGTATCACGCTTCCCCAAACCCACCAAGGCGAGCACTATGTACTGACCATGGTGGAAGCAACCACAGGATGGTGGGAAACCTACCCTGTGCCTCATGCCACTGCCCAGAACACCATCTTAAACCTGGAAAAGCAGGTCTTGTGGAGACACGGCACCCCTGAGAGAATTGAGTTGGACGATGGAACACATTTCAAGAACGGCCTTATCAACACCTGGGCCAGAGAACATGGGATTGAGTGGATATATCATATCCCCTATCATGCACCAGCTGCCGGGAAAGTTGAACAATGCAATGGACTGCTTAAGACCACCCTAAAGGCACTCGGTGGGGGAACTTTCAGGAACTGGGAATTGAACTTGGCAAAAGCTACCTGGATGGTCAACACCTGAGGGTCCATCAATCGAGCTGGTCCTGCCCAATTTGAACCCTTGCACACAGTGGATAGAGATAAAGTCCCTGTGGTACATATGAAAGGTATTTTAGGAAAGACTGTTTGGATTAATCCCACCCCAGGCAAAGACAAACCCATCCGTGGGATTGTTTTTGCTCAAGGACCCGGTTATACTTGGTGGGTAATGCAGAAGGATGGGCAAACCCGTTGTGTACCACAGGGAAACTTAGTCTTAAGTGAGAACTATGTGTAAGGTTTCATCATGATGCAGATGGAAATAGGAAAAGGGGTGGATAATATCCAAGACTGGAGCACCAAGAAGTTTCCTATTACCATCCGAGTAGCAGTTGCCTCTAGGCAGTTTTCCTTATCTCCTGTTAATAGGCCCATCAATGTCTTGCCACTTGACTCAGAGATAACACTCTCCAGGAGCCAGTTCTGTTTAACAGGTGATTAAGGACACACCTCATGACTCAGAATAACATCAGCCCATTGTGAGATGCTCTGTCCAGGGGGGAGGAGCTAGGCATTCCCACCTGGATAAAATCGGGGATTTTTAGACAGAGATGCATCCTTTCCACAGGTTTCTGAGAAGACACAGCAACCACATCTGCCATCCCAACAGGGCTGCAGCCACTCCAATTTGGACTGCTACCAGCACGCTGGCCAGAGGGGTGTCAGGTTGTATTCTGGCTTTGTCAGTGGTCTTCCTTTTGTATCTTTGCATGTATTTTTGTCTTTTTCCCTTTTCTCAATAAATTGTATTTCGGACTTGGAGTCTTTCACTGGGGTTGCTTTCAAACCAGAACAGTTAGGCAACACTGGGGGGCTGCCTCTGTTGTGCCAGGAGTGACAGACACTGTGCGGCTGGCACAGGGCACCCCTCACCAGAGGAAGGCCTCACCCATCCCCCTACCACACATTCCAATCCCCCAAGATGTTTCAAAACAGATTTCCAGTCTCTGGAAATCATTATTTGAACTGCTTCTTCCCAGTCACTTCACAGAAACAAAGTAATCTTATATTTTGCATATGGCTAGTGTTTTCTTCTGCCAGGTGATAATTGCACACAGTTCTCTCTCTTCTTTAAAACAAATTAATGAAAATTTGTTTTAGTGGGATTTTGGGAGGTGTCTAATTGCAGAAGATGAAATAAAGTATTTCCTTGTGTGATGTGTCATTGCTGCTTGGCCCATTCTAAACCTCAAAATGGCAACAAGTAGTAGCTTCAAAAGTTTGCAAATTCCTGGAAGTGTGTTTTAAGTTAGCCTTTTTGTGAAATATTATTGAGTTTTCCCAACTCAATAATATTAGTTTATGATCATATATAATAAATTTCAGTATTCTTTCAGCTCAGCACTTGGATGCTAACTTTCCTTCCTTTGATGCCTTTACACATGACATAGTTACACTGATTTTTTTTGGAGAAGTACATTGACTACAGAGCCACTAGCTACATTAGCTGACCTAAAGGTCAGCAAAGAGAAAAGGTGAGTCTGACAATGAAGAAAGCATTGATTTGCAGGAAATGAAGAAGGCAGGTCACAAATGTGACCTGTTTTGTGAAGTAGCTGTGTCACTGAAATTACAGATGACGCTGAAAATAGAAATGAAAAGGAGGCTTTCCAGTGTTCTGGCATCTACTAGTGTATGGTGTATACTTGCTGTGATGGTGAACATATCTTTCCATGTTAGAGGTGGTAACAGCTTGCAGTGAGCACTTTTGTTTGTAAAGGTACCAAATAATGTATTTGGAATAGTTGTGAGGGAAGGGTAAAATAGTCTTTTTCATAGAGAAATAGGAAAAAAACCCCAAATAAATATTCCTTATTCTTAAGATGCTTATAAGAATGTAATACTATGTTCATTAAACATAGTATACTTCATTAGAAATACATTAGAATCCTATTAGAATAAAAGAGTGTGTGTTTGATTAATTGTGAATAAGATGATGGTGAATTTTCTTGGGGAGTAGGTGAGGATTGGTGATGACCAAATCAGGCAGGTGTGGGACAGCTAGGATGCCATTCTTTGAATTTAAAGCAAACTCTGTGCACATCTGGAAGATGAGAGCATTGCAGTGCACCCAGATCAGGTCTGGTCCATGGTCATATCTAAATGAGCTCATACTTTTTAGTCATGTGTTTTGAAAGCTTTGTTTAATAGTATTGTCAGCAGACAAATCACAAAGTAAAGATGGGGGAAGGTGCTGTGGATCTGCTAATGGGTGTAGATGCTACAAGAAGTGAGAGACTACAAAGAACCAAATGCATCAAAAGGCTAAAAAAATGGTCCAGAAAGATGTTCCATTTTTGTGTATGATAGTAGTCAAGTATGTTTTTGGCTATTAGAATTATCAGTATCTTTATGGTATCTTTTATTTAAAAAAACCCACCCAAGATAATTGACAGATGTTGGTGATAGGTCTGTGACACCATGCAGAGCTAAGACCAGGCTGAATAGGGAAGTACTGGTTATGACTTCTGGGTGATAAAAAATATCTTTTCTGTAGTCCTCTCTCAGCACCTTGTGTTGCATTTTCTAATCAAGTTCTGTTTTAGTTTTAGGAGCAAAGCTTTGTGTTTAAAATGGAAGTTGATGTGAATGGAGAGTCCAGAACTGCCCTCTCCACCCTCTCTGTGCCTCTTGCAGAGGTGAATTCTGCAGCCAGGTTGGAAGCAGAAAAGCCACGCTGTTCCAGCACCCCCTGCTCACCATTGAGGCGGACAGTTGCAGGATACCAGATCCTTCACATGGATTCTAACTACCTGGTTGGCTTCACAACTGGAGAGGAGCTGATAAAATTAGCCCATAAATGTATTGGGAGTGAAGAGAATAAAGAAGAATCTGGTCCTAACCTGGGGTCCAGACATCTTGATTCAGGACTTTCACGTTCCTCACGTTTGTACAAAACTAGAAGTAGGTACTACCAGCCATATGAGATCCCAGCAGTAAATGGAAGGAGGAGGAGACGGATGCCCAGCTCAGGGGATAAATACAATAAAGCTTTACCATATGAACCTTACAAGGCACTTCATGGTCCCCTGCCTATCTTCCTTTTGAAAGGTAAAAGGGCTCATTCAAAATCCCTAGACTACCTCAATTTAGACAAAATGAGCATTAAGGAACCTGCTGATACAGAAGTGCTACAATACCAGCTCCAACACCTTACTCTTAGAGGGGATCGTATGTTTGCAAGGAATAGCACATGAGCTATCATCTCAAATTTAGAAATGGTTTCTGATCTTTTCTCTGTTGCTGCAGAAATCCACTGTTGTGCTGTGTACATGATTGTCCACATTGTAGGTAGTTTTATCATCTCAAGTGTTACCAGGAAGTAATTTATTTGAATACAGTCTTGGCAATGCAGTGTTCTACAAATGCTTGGAGAGAGAAATCTTTCCTGATCAAGCAACTTCTGATGCAGATTTGACTTCAACTAGTGGATATTTCTTTGGACACATTTTAACAAAAAAAAAAAAAAGCTTTTGATTTTTGGGATTTTTTTTTTCTGTACTGCTTCTGTTTACACAACAGTAATTCAGCACTGAAAAATTTGTGATACCTGCTTGGTTGTTGCTAATTTTGGCTTGATATTAGAAACTGCTCTTGGATAAGTACCCGAGGAGGTTTTTTGGGTTTACTTTTTGTTTCTGTAGTAAAATTTATATGTTTTTCTTACAGCATGGACAGGAAAGTGAACTTGACTGGATGAATCACATGCTATTTAAACAATCCAATTCATACATTTTGAGACTGCGCTTGTACTGGTGTTGTGGGTGAGATTCATTCGTAAAAGAAACATTTGCTACTTGAATCCTATCAAATGATTTTTTTGTTTCTGCATGGAAGTCATTGTTTTGTCCATTTTATTCTATAAAACATGTTCAGAATAAATATTTTAAGTTATTTAAAGCAAATATTTCAGGAAGTAAAGTTTTGTTTTGTTTTTTGGGGTTTTTGGTTAGATTTTGTTTTGGCATTGTCTAGAGACAGAAAATGGAATATCTATATTGGTATGTTGGTAATATTTTTGATTTTAATTTGTGATTTTCAGTTAATCTGTAGTAGAAGAAGGTGTCAACTTCATAGCTTTGGAAATTTTGTTGACTTGAAGCAGTGAACACAAGCTCTGGAGGGCAGATTTTTTTCTCTTGACAGAGTACAACTGAAATACTTGTCAGCGTTGCAAGGATGATCTTCAATTTTGCAGCAGAATAATGCACTGGGTTACTTTTGTTAATAAATTTTTATCCAAATATGGTATCAAATGCAGATTTGACAACTGTACCCTTAGATGTGTTTAGAATATTTTAATTTGTTTTATTTTAGTTTAAAAATGAAAAATAGTTTTCATAATGTATTTTTCTAAGGTGCAGTCTTGTACTGAAGCAGTGCATAACTTGATTTTGCCTGATAACCTCTGCAGAAGTTAAAAATAATTTCATATTGCTTTGAAACATAAATTATTTGATCAGTTGTTTCTGATAGAGTCAGGTTTTTTTGTTGTTTGTTTATCACTCAGAATTACTGGAAAGCACTACTTAGTGCATGTACTCTGGGAAATGAAGAGTTCTTACGCTGTCACTCCATAGTTTAAATGAAGGCAGCCCCCCAGTGAGCATTTTGTAGTTTGGTTATCTTTTTTAGGTTTACTAGAAAATACAAAAAACCCACAGAAAACAATGTGTATTTTTCAAAGTTAACTACACTGGTTAAATTTAATGTATTGAACAATGATCTTGAAAGTAAGGTCTTCCTATAAATCTTTAGTTTGAAAATGGAATATGGTTAGATGCCAAAGAGATAGGGGGTTTGTTTAAGGAAT